GATTACGATTACAACCACGACTACGGTTACGACTGCAATCACGATTACAACAAAGACTACGATCACGATTACAATCGCAACCACTGGCTCTGTTTACAATCCTCCTAAGAAGATGCTCACACATTCTGTCGAGCGTGGGGTAGCACGCCCAACAATAGAGGGAAATCATCTCATCCGCGACGATGACGACGACAACTACGATAACGATAACGATAACGGCCACGAAGAGGAGCTCTCCTCCACCTCCCTCTCCGCCTCCTCTTCTTCCTCCTCCTCCTCCTCCTCCTCCTCCTCCTCCTCCTCCCCTCCTCCTTAATAGTAGGACGAGGAGGAGCAGGAGCAGGACGAGGAGGAGCAGGAGCAGGAGGAGGACGAGGAGGAGAAGGGGCAGGAGGGGGAGAGGGCGGGGAGAAAGAGGGAGAGGAGGAGGAGGAGGAGCAACAGCAGCAGCAGGAAGAGGTGGGGCGAATTTTAGGACCAGTCACATTGACCGCCGAATGAAAAGGGGGGGGAACCAAATCAAAAGACTTATTGAGGTTACTCTTTGTCGCCTCATGTGACTGTCCCTCCCACTCAGGATAAAAAGATTGCAGTGGGGGGGCTCAGACGGCAGCAGTCTTCTGGGTTACATGGGGGGGGGCTGGGGGAAGCATGACTTGCCCATGGGACGGTGAGGCAAACGAGAGGGGCCATCGGGGGGCTCGAGATGAGGACACAAAACCCTGCGCTGAGCGGTTCGGCGACTCAGCGTTGCTGGACTGATCATTTGCGTGGAATTGTGCGTTCGTCACGTCGTTCTCTCGACGATCGCCGTGGCCGTCGCCGCCGCCGCTGAGGAGCCGCAGCCTTCGGCGGATGACACAACGACGACGACATTGACGTTGACGTCGACGTCGACGACGACGTCGTCGTTGTCTCGGCGACCGCCGTCGCCGTCGCCGCCGCCACCGCCGGAGGCACGCTGGGGGCCACGCCTTCAGCGGCTGCGCCACGCTGGGATCCTCGCGCCGCTTGGGACGGCAAATGGTCCGAGCAGTCATCTGCACGGGCACAACACGACAGAACACATGAGCCAGCATGACGAGCGCGGGGCCGCGATACTCGAGAGGGAGCGCGGAGCAGGAACTGGAACAGCAACTAGGGGCAGAACTTGGAGGAGGACCGGGAGCAGGATGCACTCGGGGAGGCGGCAGACTTGCCACTACAGCAGACACTGCTTTGTCAGCAGCGAGAGATCCCCGTGGGGCCCCTGCTGGCATGCCGACATCCTGTTTGATGTGCCATTACCCCCACCAACACAAGGGATGAGTCGACACTGGTCTGACTGCTGCGCTTCAGGGCATCTTGCCATAGGTGCGCTCAGAATGGCGCGCTCCTGACGGCGCCGCAGGCCCCGCGGGAAAGGCGGAGGAATTGAGGACAAACAGGTGGAGGACGACGACGACGATGACGACGTTGACGCTGACGACTACTACTACGACTACTACTACTACTACTACTACTGCTACTACTACTACTACTACTACTACTACTACGACTACAACTACTACTAGTACTCCTACTACTACTACTACCACCACTACTACCACTACTACTACTACTACTACTACTACTACTACTACTACTGCTACAACTACAACAACTACTACTACTACTACTACTACTACTACGACTACTACTACTACTACTACTGCTACTACTACTACTACTACTATTACTACGATTACGATTACTACTACTACGACTACGACTACTACTACCACTACTACTACTACAACTACGCCTACGCCTACGACAACTACTACTACTACTACGACGACGACGACTACTACTGCTATTACTACTACTCCTAATCATACTTCTACTCCAACTGCGGCTACTATTACTACAGCAACTACTACTACTACTACTACTACTACTACTCCTGCTACTACTTCTACTCCTACTACTCCTGCTACTACTACTACTACTACTACTACTACAACTACTACTACTACTACTACTACTACTACTACTACTGCTACTACTACTACTACTACTACTACTACTACTACTATTACTACTACTACTACTACTACTACTACTAGGCTACTACTACTACTACTACTACTACTACTACTACTACTACTGCTAGGACTACGACTACGAAAACGACGACGACTACTACCACCGCTACTACGATTACTACTACTACGGCTGTGATTCTACTCATACTACTGCTACTACTACGGTTACTACTACTACTACTACTACTACTACTACTACGACTACTACTACTACTACTACTACTACTACTACTACTACTACTACTACTAATACTACTACTACTACTACTACTACTATAACGAATATTATTACTACTACTATTACTACTACACATACTGCTACTGCTACTGCTACTGCTACTACTACTACTACTACTACTACTACTACGTCTACGACCATCACCACCACTACTACGACTGCTACTACCATTACTACTACTACTACTACTACTACT